GAACGTAAATGGCTAATCTAAATATAAAAAGGGTATAGGAATATGAATTAATGCATATCAATTGATTTAATATAAATATATCCCCATAAAAATGCACATGGATTGATGTAAAGGAATAAAAAACATTAATTAATTCAAAGAGAGGTACAAAGAAAACATAATGATCGAGAAAGATGAGATCACGTATTGCAGATTCAACATATGTATATGTAAAATTCACGTATTATCAAATTAATTTTGATATACGTGATAGATGATTATGAAAAAAATTACTACCTTCTAATAGTTTCGTGCTGATAACGTGTTATAAAATGAGAGGAAAAGAGAATAGAGAAAACTCAATAAACCTTTTGTGTATATTATTAAAAATCAAAGCCATATATTTATAGGTAAGAATCAGGGATATAATGGTGATAATTTCTAGGGCTACAGGGGTACAAATGTCATTCACCAATAAACTTTAATGGATTTTCCATTTAAAACATTATTATATTTTTATCTTTTATTTTAACTAACTTTTTTTTCTAAATTATTATATTATTTTTTTATATTGAAAAATGAAATACTTTGAATGCATTTAAATATAAAAATTGAGTTTGGCTCTCTGAGCATGATTTTAAGGATTAACTTTATATAATAAATAGTATCTCATATTTAAAGAGTTTTTTAAAAATGTTCTTATTGATTATTTTTTCTAAAGCAACAAAATATCCTCAATTGCCAAATTATTAAGTAATTTATAAAGAGAAAAAAAGGATTAAGCCCCTGTTAGACTCCGTTTAAAAATAAAATAATTTAGAATACATTTGATTGCGAGCGTGAAATTTGTATGAAAAGAAAATAAATTTTAAACAATTTTAATTGTCTATAACTTATTTGTATGGAAATTATTAATTAAATGTATTTAATTGATTTAGTTTTCAACCTAGAAAATATTACACTTGTTCATTTTTTATTGATGAGTAGATGAGAGAAAGTAGATAGATTATAGAGAAAAATAGTGAATTACTTGAAAAATAAAAATTACCATTGCCTGAAAAAAAAAATATTTCCTTGTATTTTAGAAAAATATGGCCACACGACCCAAAGTGAAAAATAAGCCCCTGTTTGATCCCCATTAAATTAAATTAAATTATATTTCATTTTTCTTTCTTTTGTTTTCAACCACACAATCTTTCATAAAATAATATTACACGTAAATCAAAAAAAATTCTTCTTTTTCAACCACTCATTTTTCTAAAAAATACTATTCCCCCCATTTTTATTTTCAGGTAATGGGGATCAAACATGGGCTAAGTTTCATGGAATAATTTGTCATTAACACACTCAAAAGTAGGAATTTGGATGAAAAATGACTTTTTTCATGAAAAAATAAATCAATCAAGCACGGTCTATTTTTCACACTCAGTTTTAACCATATATTCACAAAATAAAAATAATTTGCCTGTAATTTCAAAAAAAAAAAAAATCCTCACTTGTTACCCATAGATTCTCCCAAAAACTATTGTTCAAAATATCGTTTTGACACAATTGTTTGAGGGGCTAAGTAATTTTACAAGATCCGTGAATAATGAATAGTTATTAAGAATGTTGACCGAAGTTAATTTGTTTGACTCTTATTATTTGGGAAAAAAATTATTTAGGCCCCATTTGGGAGGGATTTTGAGAATTGATTTTTTGACCGTTAGAAGAAAAGTGGGGTCCACTTATGAGAGAAGAAATAAAAAAATATGACTGAAATAGTGAAATAACGATCAAAAATCAATTTTTTGGGTAAAAAAAATTACTCCCAAATAGGCTATTAATAGTGAATTTTTAGGTAATATGTCGTTAAAATGTTAAAATATAGAGAAGAAATTTTATTTTACATGTAAAATCATTTTATTGAGAGAATATATAATTGAAAATAATTTTGAGAAAAAATAGATCAGTGAATAATAGAGCTCAAACATGGGCTTAATGTTTGATTTTGGGCGATGAGGAAAATATACCTATTACCCATTTTTCGTCAATAATTCATATAATACTTTCCCATTTTTTTATCCTATTCATGCTGACTTTTTATAAAGTAATATGAAATATTATAATCAACCTAAATTAATAATTGACTATTTTGACAACTTATATCACGCTACCAAATAAGCCCAATCAAATTACCACAATTAATGTTCAACACCCCCAAAATAACTTGTCACAATCAAAAAAATAAATTAAAAAAAACCCCAATTTCACCTTATCCATCCTCGACTAAAATTGAAATCCAAAACCATATAATTCAAAAAATCACCAAACATCCCATAGATCACTCCACTCCATATCCCATCCTGAAAAAATAGGTATGTGTGTTTCAACGAAATGATGGAATTTCAATTAAAATTCAACATGAATTTGAAGAAATCAAATTACTAAATGTGTATAGTAGATAACAAACATAACCACATTTTTTGCAATCATGATTGTGGCCTCTTCATCATAAAATATGTGGAATTCATTACGCAACATGAGATGGATGTGTCTAGAAAAAAAAATCAATTCTAACAGATCAAGGTTGCAATTGACGGTCCAACTTTACAAACATGGATGCAAGGATACAAAATGGATTTTAACCTGTCTCACGTAGTGTGAGGAGGGAGAGGAAGCTACGGGCATCGACAAATGTGTAATTTTGTTAGTTTATGTCTCTTGAACAACGATATTTGTTCTACACAGAAAAATACATTAGTGATTGTGTAGCAAATTTGTTTGATTTCTTTTCTCAGTAAATGTTGGTAATTCATTCTGTCCATCGATCTTAGAGTGATTTAGAATGAATAAATGAAATGTCCAGGTGATGGTAATGTATTTTGAATGCAAAACTATGTTCTCGTTTAGAAATTTAAATGAAGGCTAGTTATTGAGTATCTTATCGGTACATAATTTTCAGGTTTTATCAAATATGCTACTCATTTCATTGGGTATTTTGATGGTTGAATCTTGAATTCTCTCAGATTTTATGTTGTTTTAAGCTAATCAACATCAGTTCTACCATTTCACTCTCTGTGCAGTTTAAATTATACATTTATATAGTGATAAGTGTATTTTATACACTTATTCGGTACCTTAAAATGAAGATATTTGATGGTTCTTTTGACAAATTATATTCTAAATTGTTGTTTCTTATTTTTTTATAGGTAAATTCTATGAATGAAATAGGGAATTGAAGGAATGAAGCAAAAAAATAGCGAGATCCAAAAGTTGGGGACCAAGTTGTAACAATTCAATAGTTGATCCGGACCACGAATCGAAGATTGAAGAATTTGGAGATCAAATTTCAAATTTTGGGAAATGAAGGACTTGAATTGAACAAAAGAATACATGTGTTGCAAGAATAAAAGGAATCAAGGATTGAAATTTATTATATTGAAGGATTGAGGACTTGATGGCCAATATTACAATAAAGCATTTGAATTGTAGTCAAATATAGTAGGCTATGGAGTTGCTATAGAGATACATTTTATTTTATTTTATTTTATTTTATTTTTTATTTTTTTATTTTGATACCTAGGTGTCCCAGCTTCGCCAGACTAAATCCTGGACCTCTAGTCACCGGCCCCTCAGTGACTCGAGGAGGTAAATTGCAGGTTATGCCCTTGTTGGCTCCCAAGTTCCCACTTGGTTTATACTCCTGGCCCCAAGAGAATCCTCCTCACTACGTTGATCAGGAATCGAACTTTCCACGCTGATGTTGCAAACCCGTCATAGTGATTGTTCCACCAACTCGGATGTGCCTTGGGGGGCAATTATAGAGATACATTTTACGTAGGAGAGAGGAGAGAGAAGGGGGAGGAGTCCTTTTTTATAGTCAACTAGGGTGGCTACTAGGTTTTGAGACTAATATATATATATATATATATATATATACACACACACACATTCCATCCCAGAAAACGAGAGAAGAGGAAAGAGAGGATTTAAGAGGAACCAATTTTATATATATTTAGAGAATTGAAGGAGGGAATTTTTGGGACAGAGAGACGCACGGGAATTGAGGAGAGATTCAACCATTATTATAAAATTTACACACATATTTCACATATTTGAGAAGACATGCACGGAATTGAGAACAGCCAACAGTCTATATTTTATACATATTTAGGGGCTGCAATAGGGCATTGACAGAGGAAAATTGCGGCTGCTTGGGAAGAAAATTCATTGCTGTCTGTTGAAATTAATTACACACTCGAACAGGGATACAAAAGACGGCAGAAGACACGGTAGAAGACGGAGATTCACGTTCCAAAAGTCTAATCTGGTGATGTCTTTCATAAGTTCTTGTTTCTCTCTCAATAATATGTGTAGCTAAATTTAATTTTAGGGCGAACAATATAATCTATTTATGACCTTTATTTCTTTTATTTGAGATTTTTGTTCTTTTACATTTTATGTGTAAATTTTAATTATATTTTTAATGCTTGATATTTTCTGGCCAAATATTCAATGATTTCGTGAACAATAATTATGAGAGATGCGGATTTTTGTTTAGACCACATATTAAAATTCGGCAAATTAACATAACATGTAGAGATATCTATATTAATTACTGCGGTCCTATAGAAATTTCTAGAACTGTTATTTTGTTTAATTAAATTTAATTTGCAAAGAGATGGAATTGAACTAATTAAATAGGTTCGACGAGAACTTGAGAGAGGTAAGTTGAATACAATAGAAGAATTCGACCGAACACTATTTTAATTTTATGAATCTCGATATTAGAAATTAAGGTGACCAATAGGTGAAGTTGTTCCGCCCTAATCTCCATTTATTATTTGAATTCTCACTAATTTTTTGTTGCATTCTCGATATTTTTAGTAGTTAGATTTAAATATTTATTTATATTCATCAAATAGGAGTTAGGAATAATAAATTGAATACTAAAGTATAGTCCTCGTGGGAACGATAATCCGGACTCAAAAGATCCATTTTACTACTTGTTACGATCCGTCCACTTGCGGGATAAAATCGACAACAAGTTTTAGCGTCGTTGCCGGGGACTATTATTTTTAGTTTTAATTTTTTTTATTTTTCTATCTAATTTTTAAATATTATTTGATTTGCTTGTTTTCTTTTATTTACAGAAAATTGTGTTCGTTGTATGCTCCGTGCCCAAGGCGACAATCTTGAACCGTTTGATTCGAAAATAGAACGTACCTTTAGACAAAGACGTAGGGGATACAAACAAAAACAGCAACATCAAATGGCTGATAATCTAAACAATCCTAACCCTATACAGCCAATTGGACAAATGGCCGTGAGAGCTCAACAGCAAGAGCAAAGGGAAGTAAATGAAGGGGACTTGCCAATTTCTATGTTTTTGACGCCTATAGGAGCACCCGCGCGGTCCAGCATATTATATCTAGATTTTGGAGTAAACAACTTTCAAATACGGGCTGATTGGATTAATTTGATGAACAACACTCTACAATTCTATGGGTTACCTCATGAGAATCCAAACACACATATCTTAAGGTTTCTCAGGAATTGCCAGAATTGTCATGCTCCTGGGGTTAATGAGGACGCCATCAAGCTACGATTATTCCCATATACACTGAGAGATGCAGCATTAGAATGGTTGGATGCCGAACCGGATGGAATTATTACCACATGGGAGGAACTGACTAGGAAATCCTGCAATAAGTTCTTTCTACCAGCTAAAGTAGCAAAAATTAGACTCGAAATCCAAACTTTTCAACAGAAAGATGAGGAGAGCTATCACAAGGCATGGAATAGATTTAAGGAGTTGATGAGGAAGTGTCCAAATCATGGGATCACTATTGGAAATCAAGTGCATTATTTCTACACGGGACTTTCACCACTATCCAAATCTCAAGTGGATTCCTCTGTAGGTGGATCGATCATAGGAAAATCAGTGCAGCAATGTACGGATCTAGTTGAGTTGATTGCCACTACTCATTCCATATTTTCATCAGAAAGAGTGGTGCCTCCAAAAACAGCTGGAATATATGAATTAGACAGCACAACATCTACCAACGCCCAAATAGCAGCATTAACAAAATAAGTAGAGTTATTGGTGAAGTCACAAACAAAAGGAGTGTAACTGGCCCATCTTACGAAAACTGCGGGGCAAATCACCTAACAGAAAATTGCACATCTATGGGCTTTCCGGAGGAACAAGTCAACTTCATTCAAAATGACTCTCGAAATTTTAATCCCTTTTCACAAACATATAACCTAGGATGGAGACAACACCCAAATTTCAGATGGTCGGATAATCAGCAAGGGAACGATTCAAACAATGCACAACAGGAGAAAACGCCAAGTTTGGGAGAGATGTTCAACCAGTACATATAGAAGACAGACAAGGTGTTCCAGCAGATTGATACTAACTTTCAGAATCAGCAAGCATCCATTAAGAAGCTGGAAACTCAAATTGTTCAGATTGCTCAACAGCTTATCGAACGCCCACAAGGGACATTGACAGGTAACACAATGGTTAATCCAAAAGAGCAAGTGCAAGCTATTACAACTAGAAGTGGAGTGCAACTTCCGGAGACATATGTGAAGAGACCAGACAGAAAGGACAAAGAAGTAATGGTTGAAGAGGCTGGGATAGAAGCAAAGTCTGAACAACCAACTAACGAGGAGGATAAAAGGAAATAAACACCCACAATGAGAGCACCCAGCCCGGTGAAAGCTTATGTGCCACCAATTCCCTTCTCTCAGAGGCTACAAAGAAAGAAGTTGGACAAGCAGTTTGCCAAGTTTGTGGAGATTTTCAAAAAACTGCACATCAATATTCCATTTACAGATGCAATTGCCCAAATGCCCAGCTATGCTAAATTCTTGAAGAAGATCCTATCTAACAAAAGAAAGCTGGAAGAACATGAGACAGTCTGCTGATAAGTATGTTTTTACACACTTATTTGGTTCACAAACATGACTTAAACATGGATAAAATGGTTGAAATGTGGCTTAATCCTATTAAATTCATGCAATGTAGGTATTTCAATGGAAATTGTGGAATTCAGGAGATAAGAGCCGAAGAAGGACCAAAACGCAACAAAGTGATAGTTCGAGGACCAAATGTGCAAATACTGAGAAGTTGAGCTAAATGCAAAACGAGAGTAAAAACATGCCAAGTATGAGCTCAATGACAAAGCAAAACAATTGGAAGAAGAAAGTATTGAAGAGGGACTGAAATGAAGACAATTGAAAGTTGGAGGACTAAAGCGCAAATACTCAAAAGATGTGCCGAATGAGTGGCAGGAGATTTGATGGTGTCAATCATCAATTGGAAGATAAAATTTGTTGAAAAGATGAAGAAATCGAAGAAAGAAGTCAAGAGAAGCAACAAGGAAGTTCATGGACCAAAATGTAAAAAATCACATAGTTGGTTATATCTATGCGACCGCATAGTGTAACCATCTATGCGGTCGCATAGATGGATGCAGGGAAAATAATGGGGCATTTCAAATGACCTATGCAACCGCATAGGATCCTTCTATGCGGTCCCATAGAAGAAAATAATGGGGCGTTTCTGCAGTTTCCTTTTTCGACTCCAACTCTTTTTTTTTTTTACCTAATTTGGACACGCTATATATACCCTAAAATACGTCCAGAACTAGGGTAGACAATTTTGGGAGAAAAGAGGCACACAATAACATCAAGATCTAAGAATTTATGCAAGAAGAAGGAGGATTTCATCAAGATTGAAGATTTCAAGCATCAATTATAATAGGGTGATGTCTTCTCCTTTATTGAATCTTTGTAATTTTCTTCAAAACATGATAGACTAATTTTTTATTTCATTGGGAGTCGATGAACCTTTGATTTGCTTATAAATTTTATATTTCATGAGTTTAATATAAATTGTCTTTGGAATAAATTGTTTGATTTATATTGCTTTGATTGAATCCATGATTTATTGGCCATTTATTATGTGATTGTGATGGTTTATTCTTTACATTCGAAAGAAGTAGAATAGACTCGATATATATAAATTGACATAGGGTCCGATAGGGGATAGAAATATACCCTTATGCATTATGCAATTCGGTAATTGTTCATAGAATTTCATGCGTTTTTGTATGTTACATCATCCATAGAAATATAGGCTGATGATATGCAGAAATAGATCTAATATATATCGAGAGAGTATATTAGATAGGTGTAGGAACATTGAATTGACAATTTTCCATTGATTAATTGGATTTGTGAAATTAGGGTTTATAGAAATCAAACGGGGATTCGATATCCCAGTGATTTTATTTCAACTTATTTCTACAATTTCATTTACAACATTGCATATTTACATTTTAGTTGAGTTGTTGAGTCATTTAATTAGTGGAATTTCGAAATTAGGGTTTTCTTCAAAATTAGGGTTTTTAATTGGGGGTTTCTTCCAAAATTAGGGTTTTTCACATTTAAACCAAATTTTCATTCAATTAGATTCGGTTAAGGTCACATTAGTCTAATTAGAGCTAATTCAATCCTCGTGGGAACGATACTTGGACTCATAATCCATTTTGCTACTTGTTAACAAATCGTACACTTACAGTGGGTTTTAAAATTGAAACAAATAAATACGCGAACAAGTTTTTGGCGCCGTTGTCGGGGATTAAATTTTAGATTTAATTCTATCTTTTGTGACACTAATTCGAACTTATTCATTTCAGTACTTGTTAATTTTATTAGATTTATTTAATTATTATTTATATTGAATTTTTGTGTTAATTCTGCCATATCAGGGCTTGCATGCAAGGAGCACCTGATCAAGACTTGGTCCCTATAGATCCAGAGATCGAACGCACATTCCGTCACAGGAAAAGGAAAGCAAGAGTGGTACAACAAATGGCTAACGAGTAAAATCGATCGAGAATTCCACTCAACGAAGGTTTGACAGTGGAAGAGGATGGAAATACGGTACTTGGGGATTTCATGGCACCATTGGTGGTGCAAAGTCAATCTAGTATTCTGTATCCTCCATTTGGGCAACCGAACTTCCAACTGAAGACAAACGTGATTCAACTGTTTCAGAATGGACATCAATACCATGGGATGGCTAGTGAGAATCCGCATACACACATATCTCGATTTCTTGATATGTGTCAACACTTCAGATACCAAGGTATCTCCGATAATGATATAAGACTGCGCTTGTTCCCGCACACCTTGAGGGATAAAGCACTTGAATGGCTGGATTCATTCCCTATCGGAAGCATCACTACTTGGAACGAGCTAGCTCATAAATTCTGCACCAAGTTCTTCTCGCCAGCTAAAGTAGCTAAAATGCGGCATGACATCTCAATATTCAACCAGATCGAGTCAGAATCATTTGAAAAGGCATGGAACCTTTTCAAGAACATGTTAAGGAAGTGCCCGCAACATGGCTTTGACAAGAAGACCCAGATCAGGTTTTTCTACACTGGATTACTCCCATCATTCAAGAGTATGGTGGATGCATCATCTGACGAGTCTATCTCTACAAGAACAATTGACGGAGCCTGGGAGCTGTTTGAAAGGATGGCTACAACTTCAGCTATGTGGTCTACAGATCGAGTAGTTCAGAAGAGAGCACCTGGGGTGTATGAAGTAAATACTTACTCAGCACTGTCGGGAAAAATAGATTCCTTATTCCATAAGGTTGAAAGCTTTTCACAAACCGCCACTCCTAAGCAAGTTATGAAGCAGAGTTGTGAAGAATGTGGAGCAGATCACAGTACTGCTACTTGCCTGATTCTAGCACAAGGAGTGGAACATGCAGAATTCGCACAATGGGGTCAGCGCCAGCAGAATAACCCACATTCAAAAACCTTCAATCAAGGCTGGAGAAAACACCCAAATTTCTCTTGGAGCAACCAGAATCAAAATAGACCACAAGGGCAATATCAGCAGCAAGACAAAAAGCCACATTTGGAGGATATGTTCGAGAAATTTATGGCACACACCAATCAGTACATGGAAGCCAATAACCAATTTATGCGAAGGACGGAAACAACGCTTCAAGATCAAAGTGCAGCGATCAAGAACTTGGAGACACAAGTGGGACAGATAGCAATTTCCATGACAGGTAGAGCACCGGGAAACCTACCCAGCAATACTGAAATTAACCCTAAGGAACATGCAAAGGCTATAACAACCAGAAGTGGAGTACAACTGCCGGAACCGCATGTAACAAGTTTGGGAGCCAACAAGGAATCAACGCCAACCTTGGAGAAAGAAATTGTGGAGCAAACTGACAATGCAATAGGAGATGAGGTTAAGAGGAATTCCAAGACATCACAGGGTAAAAATACTAATCTTGTTAACCCTCATGAGCTTCCTATTCCGTTTCCACAAAGGTTGAGAAAGTATAAAATGGAGTAGCCATACAGTAAGTTCCTTGAAGTCTTCAAGAAACTGCATATCAATATCCCATTTGCTGAAGCACTTGTTTAGATGCCGAGCTATGCAAATTTTTTGAAGGATATCCTCTCCAACAAGCGAAAGATAGAAGAACATGAAACAGTAATGTTGACTGAGGAATGCAGCGCCAGAATCCAGAGAAAGCTACCCCCAAAACTGAAAGATCCAGGGAGTTTTACTGTACCCTGCACTATTGGAGACTGTTATTTTGATAAAGCTTTGTGTGATTTGGGTGCAAGTATTAATCTAATGCCTCTTTCTGTTTTCAGGAAACTTGGCTTGGGAGAAGCAAAAGCCACAACAGTGACATTGCAGTTAGCAGATCGATCCCTTACACATTCTAGAGGAATCATTGAAGACGTGCTGGTAAAAGTGGAGAAGTTCATATTTCCAGCTGATTTTCTTATCTTGGACATGGGAGAAGATAAGGATGTTCCACTCATTTTGGGGCGACCTTTCTTAGCCACTGGGAGAGCAATTGTAGATGTTCAGAAGGGGCAGCTGATATTGAGGCTTGGTGACGAGCAAATCTCATTCAACGTGTTCAAAGCAATGAAATTTCCTACTGAGTCAGACAGTTGTTTCCAGATAGATGTAGTCGACCAAATAGTTCAAGACACATTTCGGCTACATCATCCTTCCGATGCATACGAGGCATGCATTGCACATTCACAACCCACCCATTCTGAATTAAGTGAGAATGAGACATGTGCTCGATTTTTGGAGAGTAACCAGCCATATATGCGCAGACGCTACTATGAAGAGCTGGGAATTAGGACTGCAAAATCAGTGCCATCTATTGTGAAACCGCCCAAATTGGAATTCAAACAATTGCCACCACATCTTCGATATGCGTACCTGGGGGAATCTTCTACACTACATGTTATTATTTCAAGCACTGTCAGTGAGGTAGAGGAAGAGAAACTACTTCGGGTGTTAAGGGAGAATAAAACAGCTATTGGATGGTCAATTGCAGATATAAAGGGGATCAGCCCATCTGTATGCATGCATAAGATACTCATGGAGGAAAAATTCAAACCAAGCATTGATGGGCAGCGGAGATTGAACCCACACATGAAGGAAGTGGTTAGAGCTGAGGTATTGAAGTTGCTCGATGCAGGCATTATTTATCCAATATCAGATAGTGCATGGATCAGTGGGGTGCAAGTTGTTCCCAAGAAAGGAGGAATCACGGTGATAGAAAATGAGAAAAATGAGTTGATTCCTACACGGACAGTGACTGGATGGAGAGTTTGCATTGACTACCGTAAACTAAATACAGCTATTCGAAAGGATCACTTTCCATTACCGTTCATTGATCAGATGCTGGAGAGATTAGCAGGGCATTCGCACTACTGTTTCCTAGATGGGTACTCCGGGTATAATCAGATTCCAGTGGCACCAGACGATCAGGAGAAGACCACTTTCACTTGCCCCTATGGCACCTTTGCATACAGAAGGATGCCATTTGGATTATGCAATGCTCCCGCTACCTTTCAGCGGTGCATGATGGCTATTTTCTCAGACTTGATTGAGAAATTCATCGAGGTATTCATGGATGACTTCTCTGTGTTTGGATCTTCATTTGATGAGTGCTTGGAGCATCTAAGTCTTGTGCTACAACGGTGTACGGAGACCA